CACTCTTCTCCGACATTGCGACACGGCCTCGCCGCGGCGTGGGGTCCCGGTGGCCAAGAGAGGTGAGGACAGGAGGCGGCCACACGGATGACCATGCATCACCCCCACGAGAGACGGCCGTGACCTTCAGACATCGTGAGGTGTGGCTTCCCCCCGGAGTCAGAGAGGGGAAGTGGTGGGGCCTCTGTCCTGCATCCCCGCTCCTCCTCCTCGCAGAGGGAAGGACAGCCCTGGAGTGGTTAGGGTTATGTACGCTCTCTGGAGAGAGACAGAGAGACAGAAAGCGAGAGATCACCCCCAGGGGGATGGCCATGCCACAATCCCATCTCCTCCATTCTCCTCTCGGGATCTTGGGCACACACGCACCATTTCTTTTTTAAATACATGATGAGCACTGTATCTTTTTTTTTTTTTTTTTATTTTTCTTTTTTTTTTTTTTTTTATTTTTCTTTTTTTTTTTTTTTTTATTTTTCTTTTTTTTTTTTTTTTTAGTTTTCGTTTATTTATTTTTTTTACTTTGACTAGAGAAGGAAAGAGACAGAGAAAGAGAGAAAGCAAGCCGCCAGGTCTGGGACTCAAACCGCAGTCAGCCTTGTGGGAGTCCAGCGCCCTTAACCCCCACGCCACCTGCCGGCCCCATGGAAGGATGAAGAGGTGGTTCAGGCCGCTTCCCCAGGTCCAGCAAGCGTGTCCGTCCCCTTCTCAGTTGTTACTTTTTATTCCAAGTCTCGGGAAGGATTGAAAACCTTGCAGGAAGTTTCCTTAATGGCCTACGTGGGGCCTGCTCCTGGCATGGTGGTTAGAGCGGCTGGATCCCACGTGGCCGATGGAGCGGTTCGAATCTCTGAACTGGTGGCTTGAAAATCACCTCAGATGGAACCAGCAGGTGGCCTGGTGGTCTAGGCGCTGGACACTCCCACGTGGCTGACCACGGTTCGAGTCCCGGACATGGTGGCTTGCTTTCTTGGTTTCTATCTCCCTGTCTCTCTGTGTCTCTGCGTGTCTGTGGTCAAATTAAAATAACAAACTCATAGAATTAAATGAATAATTCTCTAGAGAAAAGAAATTCACACTGAGCCCGTGTGCGTGCATGCCCAAAATCCAGAGAGGAGAATGGAGGAGAAGGGATTGCGGTGTGGCCATCCCCCCGGAGGGCGACTTCTCACTTTGCCTCTCGGTGTGGCTCTTTCGAGGGGAACGCATGTGTCTGATGGAAAACCAAACAAAACAACAAATATGGAAATAAAGAAAAAGAAAGACAAATAAGAAAGAAAAGGAGAAAGGAGAGAGAGAGAGAAAGATTCTCCGTGGATGCTCTTGTACCATCGCAGTGGAACAGAAGTGTTTACCCCGAGAACACTTGACAGTCGCTCATCGGACAGTGCCATCGCAGTACGAACTTATTTATATTTTGTTCTTTAGTCATTTCTTTCCTAAAAGAATTATTTGACTTTATTTATTTATTTATCTTAATTTGACCAGAGAGAGACAGAGCGAGAGAAAGAGAGAGAGAGAGAAGGAAAGTGGGAGAGCCAGCTGCTAGGGCCAGGACTCGAACTGTGGTCGGCCAAGTGGGAATCCAGCGCCCTTAACCACCAGGCCACCTGCCGGCCCCTATTAAGTTATTTTTAGAGAGATTGTTACCATAGGACACGTGCGCTCTCCAGAGATAACAGAGAGACAGAGAGACAGAAAGCGAGACATCCCCCCCCAGGGGGATGGCCATGCCGCAACCCCTTCTCCTCCATTCTCCTCTCGGGATTTTGGGCACGCACGCACACGCGCCCGGCGTGAGTTCTAAGCCACCGGGTCCGGGACTCGAACTACATGATCGGCTACATGGGAGTCCAGTGATGTAACTGCTATGCCATCTGCTGGCCCCCGTGCATAGATTTTTTAAAACACAAATTTTCTATAGAGTTTTTCTTTTTTTAATTCTCTATTTAATTTTATTTATCATTAGTATCATTTTTCAATTTGCTACAAGGAGAGACAGAGAGAGAGAGGGTGAAAGTGAGAAAGCAAGCCATCAGCTCTAGGACTCGAACCGTGGTCGACCATGCGGGAGTGTCCAGCGCCTTAACCACCAGGCCCCCTGCCGGACCCTTCCTCACACTGTTTGAAGACCCTGGTAAAGGCAGCTTCCCGACTCTGACTCAAAATCAAACAAATAAATAGTTAAACATGGAAGGGAGGGGCCGGCAGGTGGCATGGTGGCTGAGGGGGCTGGACACCCACATGGCTGACTGTGGGTCGAGGCCCCGGGCTGGCCGGGTGTCTTTTTTTCCTTCTCTTGCTCTGTCTCTCTCTGGTCAACTTCAAATAAATAAAATAAAAAATATTGGCAAGGCATAAGAAAAGAAACGTTAAAGAGTGTAAGAGCCTATCGGATAGAGCCCTTTTCGAGTCGAGCTCAGCTCAGAGGACGTGAATGGTGATCCTGGCTGGTTATTTTTTTCCCCTTAGCAGATGTTATCTTTCAAATCAGGCACGTGTGTGTTTCCTGTAATCATTTCTCGACTTTCCTTTCCGCCTTTTTAAAAGGAGGGTGACCTCTGCCTCTTAGTCATGAGGCGAAACCCCATGGGCCTCGGTCACCGACCGCCCTCGCTGTCCCGCCCAAGCATGAGCCGGGGCTGGATGGGGCCGTGGACAGCGGCCGCCTTGCTGCTGGGAGCCGGGATGGCTTCGGGGAGCGCGGCCACAGGTAAGGTGCCCCTCGGGGACTGGCCCTTCCTGTCGGGTAGTGACCTTCATTCTGCCAATCCCTTCTTTTCTAGTTCTCTTTTTTTTTGTTTTAAGGTTTTGCCCTAGGGCGCCTGTACTCACTGGAGAGAGAGGCAGAGAGGGAAGGTGAGAAATCACTGCCCGGGGACGGCCACGACGCCATCCCTCCTTCTCCATGTTCCTCGTGGGCCGTTGAGTGGGCACAGGTGCCGGCCTGGTGGGGTTTGCTTTCTTTTCTTTCTTTCTTTTTTTTTTTTTTTGGAGAGGATTTTGCTATAGGGCATGTGCGCTCACCAGAGAGACAGAGACAGAGACAGAAAGCGAGAAATCACCCCCCAGGGGGGATGGTCATGCCGCAATCCCTTCTCCTCCATTCTCCTCTCGGGATCTTGGGCACGCACGCACACGCACCCGGCGTGAGTTTAAGCCACCGGGTCCGGGATGCGAACCGCGCAGTTGGCCACATGGGAGTCCAGCATCTTAACCTCTATGCCACCTGCTGGCCCTCGACAGAGTAGCTTTTTTTTTTTAAAAAAAAATCAGAATTGTTTATTGAATTTTATTAATGTTGTTATTATTACTATTTAAAGAATTATTTTAACTTTATTTATTGTTATTATTTTCCAACTTGACCAGAGAGAGAGAGAGAGAGAGAGAAAGCGAGACAGCAAGCTGCCAGGGTTGGGCCTCGCACGGCGATCGACCCCGTGGGAGCCCAGCGCCCCGGCCCCCAGGCCTCCTGCCGGCCCGCGGAGTCCCATCTTTAAAAACGAGCCCTTTCTGCCGAGTGAGAACCACTCGACTGTGGTCTCTCTGCTGCCCACGAGCTTGCAGGCGTCTGTGTCCACCCCGTGGGCCTTGGTAGGGCGAGGGCGTCTCCGTGTCCGGCACTGTTAGGGGTCAGCCCCGCGTGGGCCCGGCCGTCCTTGAGATGGTCAAGCCGTGAAGGACGTGACCAAGTGCCATCCCTCCCGGGGGTGATTTCTCACTTTCTGTCTCTCTGTCTCTCTCTGTCTCTCTGGCAAAAACCTCTCCAAAAAAAAAAAAAAAAAAAAGGCACAGACACAGCAAAGTGGGGCCCACTTGTTTGGAGCCCTAAGGCAGTCAGCTTGTGGTTAAAACTTGGGGACCAGCAGGTGGCATGGTGATTAAGGCACTGGACTCCCACATGGCCGACCTTGGTTCAAGTCCCAGACCTGGCGGCTTGCTTTCTCACTTTCCCTCTCTTTCTCTCTGGTCAAATGAAAATAAATGAATAAATACATAGAATGAAATAATTAAAAGAAATTTGAAAGGGAAGGTGCAGTGTACAGATTCCGATCCACTTCAAACATAATATTATTTTCCATTTGATTGGAGAGAGACAGACAGAAAGAGACAGAGAGTGAGAGAGCAGGCTGCTAGGTCCGGGACTTGAACCGTGCTTGGCCATGTGGGAGTCCAGGGCCTTTAACCACCACGCCACCTGCCGGCCTCCCACTTCAAACACATTCTAAAGATCACGTGTTCAGGTTCCCTGTCAGGTCTACCCACCAGACACGCTCCGAAGCCTTTTGAGTAAATCCCCGAATGCAGATGAAGTAGCGGCGAAGGTGGTTCAAGGCCCGGACCTGGGGCATGAAACTCAGGCTGGGCACGTGCGCTTGCGTGCCCCAGATCTGGAGAGGAGAATGGCGGAGAAGGGACTGCGGTGTGGCCGTCCTCCCTCCCAGGGAGTGTTTTCTCGCTTTCTGTCTTTCCATCTCTTTGGAAAGCACCTATGCCCTATAGCAAAAAGCTGTCAATAAGAAAAGAAAATGCTGAAAGTTGCTTTTTTTCCCCCATGAAAGACTGTTGCGGTTTGTTTGCTTTTTTGGGGGAGATGCCTTGGACTGGAAGTCATTAGAGGTGAGAAAGCCATTTTGCGCTAACTGCGTGGGAATAACAGGTCCCCAGGGACAGAGCCCTCAGAAACGCTCCCGGCCCGACTGTCTGCCATAAAGCCTGCACGGCCCAGCTGCCCTCGGGAAGGCCGGGATTACAGGGGCTCCACCGCGGGCGTTCAGGGCCCCTGGGAGGGGGCCACGCTGCGCGCAGGTATTTCTGACCCGCCCCTGTAGACTTCCCGACTCCAGGCAGAATTTGGCTTTTCTGACCAGGTATAATGACATGCATTCTCCTGGGGCCTTCAGGGTAGGCTGGCGTGAAAGTGAAACACGAGAAAGGGGGCAGTGGATGGTGTGGAGGTTAAGGCGGGTGGACCCCGCACGGCCGACCGTGGGGTTCAAGTCCCGGACGGGGCGCTGGGCATGTGTGTGTGCGTGTGCATGCCCAACATCCCGAGAGGAGAATGGAGGATATAGTAGGGCCGTGTGGCCATGCCCCCCAGGGGTCCCTAACACGATGCTCTGCAATGAAGAGGCACCCGAGAAAGTCCCGGGTTCGAGTCCCCAGCCCTCTGCGTGTACATTAAGCATACGTGTGCTCGGAAGCCTGCTGGCTGGGGCTGAGTGTGGATCGTGGTGTGAAGACCGTGGAGGGGGCTGGGCTCCCCACTTCTCTCATTCTCTCCCTCTCTCATGAAATCAGTTAGCTTAACTATTTTTTTCTTTTTTCTTTTTTTTTGGAGAGGTTTGTGCTATAGGGCGCGTGCGCTCGCCAGACAGACAGACAGAGAGACAGAAAGCGAGACATCAGCCCCCAGGGGGGATGGCCACGCCACAATCCCTTCTCCTCCATTCTCCTCTTGGGATCTTGGGCACACACACACACACCCGGCGTGAGTTTTAAGCCACCGGGTCCGGGATCAAACCGCGGTTGACTCCATGGGAGTCCAGCGACATAGCCATGACGCTAACTGCTGGTCCCCAGTTAGCTTAATTTTTTAAAGGTGATTGGGACCTGCAGGTGGCGTGATAGCTAAGGCGTGGGACTCCCACATGGCTAACTGCGGTTCAAGTCCTGGACCTGGCAGCTTGCTTTCTCATGCTCCCCCTCTCTCTCTGGGTGAATCAAAAATAAATAAATTAATTTAATTAAATTAAAAATTATTTTTTGTGGGGAGAGGTTTTGCTTATAGGGTACTCGTGCTCACTGGAGAGACAGAAAGAGACAGAGACAGAAAAATCCCAGGAGGGCTGGACACACCATAATCCTGTCTCCTCCATTCTCCTCTTAGGATTTTGGGCACGCTCACACACGTGCCTGGCATACGTTTTAAGGTGCTGGGTTGGGGACTCGAACCACGGTCAACTACGTGGAACTACATGGGCCATCTACTGGCACCTGCAATGCCTTTTAAAAAAATATTGATTTAACTTCATTTATTTTTTAAAATTTGATCAGCGAGGGGAGAGAGAGTGAGAGAGAGAGAGAGAGAGAAAGTGAGAAAGCAGACTGCCAGGTCCAGGACTCGAACCATGGTCGGCCATGTGGGAGTCCAGCGCCCTTAACCACCACGCCCCCTGCCAGCACCCTGACTTCTTCATTTGTCCACCTTGTCGGGGCTTTGGGGGCTCATAGACACGTGCGCCCGGCATTTCCAAGCCTTGGGGTCACGATGCGAACCCCAGGGGCCGGGCGGAATTCCGCTCCTTCAGCCGCTCGGACCGCAGCCTGGCCGCCATGGCTCCGTGCACACTTTTCCAAGTCCGGAGCGGGAAGGATATTTGAAGAACTCTCAGAAAGAGGGACACTTTAAAATACAATGTTCATTTAGTTTATTTTTCGTTGACATGATCATTGCACATGTTTGCGGGACACAGTGTGGGTTTTCAGTACAAACTCGCCGTGTAAGTTGGGACGCGTAGCGTAGCCACCCGCTTGGCCACCTGTCATGACTTGGTGGTGGGGACATTCACACCCTCTGATTTCTCTTTCTGATTTGTTATAGGGCATGGGCACTGGCTGGAGACAGAGACAGAGACAGAGACAGAGAGAGACAGTGAGAAAGCACCTCCAGACGGGACGACCATGCTGCAGTCTCTTCTCCTGCGTGTTCCTCTCGGGATTTTGGACACACAGGGGACCAGCAGTTGGCGTCATGGCTATGTCGCTGGGCTCCCACGTAGTCGACCGCGGTTTGAGTCCCAGACTCGGCGGCTTAAACTCACGCCGGGCGCGTGTGCCCAAGATCCTGAGAGGAGAATGGAGGAGAAGGGATTGCGGCGTGGCCATCCCTCCCGGGGGGTGATTTCTCACTTTCTGTCTCTTTGTCTCTCTCTGTCTCTCCCTGGTGAGCGCATGCGCCCTATAGCAAAAACCTCTCCAAAAAAAAAAGACATAAAGAAGTCTCTTTTTTTTCTTTTCTTTTCTTTCTGCTACAGGGCATGTGCACTCACCAGGGAGAGACAGAGAAAGGGAGAGACAGAGAGAGAAAGAGGAAGAGTGAGGACCCGCCATCCCCCAGAAGTCCACCATTACTCACATGGGAGTTTGGGCACGCACGCACATGCGCCCAGTGAGGTTTTTTTTTGTTTGTTTTTTTTTTCATGGCATTGCATTGTATTGTATTTATTTATTTTAAAGATTTTTTTTTTAAATTTAACTTGATCCATTTATTTATCCCTCCCAAAGAGGGATAGAGTGAAAGAGAGAAGAGAGGGAGAGAGAGAAAATGAGACAGCAAGCTGCTGGGTCCAGGACTCGAACCACAGACTGCCACATCGGAATCTAACACCTTACCCACCATACCACCTGCTGGTGTGTAGGTAAAACTCCTTTTTTTGTTTTTTTTTTTTGAAAGAAGTATTTTATTGAACTTTATCCATTTATTTATTTATTTATTTTAATTTGAGCAGAGGAGGACAGAATGAGAGGAAAAAAAAAAGTGAGAAAGCAAGCCACCAGGTCCAGGACTCGAACCATGATAAACAATTAAAATGAGGGGCTGGCAAGTAGCGTGGTAGGTAAAGACACTGGATTCCCATGTGGCCGAGTGCGGTTCGAGTCCCAGACCTGGCGGCTTGCTTTCTTCCTTTCTCTGTCTCTCTCTCTCTCTGTCTCTCTCTGGTTAAATTTAAAATAATAATAATAATGGCAAATGGAATTAAATAAATAAGTAATTTAAGTGAAGCTGGTTCCTCTCCGTCCCTGTTAGAAAGTGGAGCGTGGTGACATTCCCAGGCATCCCTGCTGAGCAGCCGGAGCCCTCCCGCCGTGTCAGGGACCTTTCCACACCCGTGGGGGCCAGCTGGCGCTGAAGGGGTCAAATGCAATGCCCTGCAAAGCGTTAGAACCCACCGGAAAGAGTGGCAGAGCCCTCCCTGAGGACTTCAGTCCTGCGCGTGCCCTCCCTCCTGGGCTGCTGAGGCCGGGGCGGGCAGCGGCGTGCGGAATCCCTGGGTAGCGCTCTGTCTCTCTCTCATTCATGAAAGGAAGAGAAAAAGGAGAACTTAAAAGTTTTATGTGATTTATTGATTTAGAGAATGACTTCATTTTATGTGTCATTATGATTGGAATTTGCTATAGGGCACAGAGAGCGAGTCAGCCGCCAGGTTCAGGACTCAGACGACGGCAGGCCATGTGGGAGTCCGGTGTCTTAACCACCTCCAAGTACCTCACCATCTGCTGGCCTCTACTTCTAATTTTTTAAGAAAGAATTATTTTTTTGGGAACCAGCCGTTAGCGTAATGGCTATGTCGCTGGACTCCCACGTAGTCGACCGTGCTTCGCATCCCGGACCCCGGGG